GGGGGGCCCCAGGAGTTTGAAGCTAGTTTGGGTAGCATCGCAAGGAAAAAAAGAAAAATGTTATCAAAACATGTTCAAGATCATTTTTTAGAAGTTCCATATTTTTGTTTAATGACGTAAAAGAGCATTTGAAGTGTTACATCACATCCATAGACTCAAAATGAGAAAGGTGTCAGTTCTTCACAAGTTAGTTCACAAACGCAGTGCATTTGCAATAAAAATTCCAGCTGTGTTTTGTGCCACATGGTAAATTCATCTTAAAATTCATGTGGAAATGGCAGAGACCAAGAATTGTAAAATAAATGTTGACAAATATTTGCCCTCCTTAGTATTGAAGCTTACTATAAAACCATAGTTATTAAGCATTAAAAATAGAAGAGTGGGGGTGGGAATTTAGCTCAGTGGTGCTGTCACCTGCCTCACAAGCACAAGGTCCTGAGTTTGATCTCTGGTACCAAAAAAAAATAGAGAAGCGGGGCTGGTGCTGTTATTCACCCACAAGAAACAAAATTAGGTTTTTTTTCTTCATGGGATACATGCAAAAATAATGTTTAAATTGTGTAAATATAAAAACAAAACCAAACTATGTCTTATTTATGCATATGTTTTGTCTCCCCTTATTTCCCAGGACTAGGTACCTTACCTCAGAGAAAGTTTTATTCATTTTTTGGGGGGTACTGGGAATTGAATGTACATGTTTTCAAGAAAATGTACAACAAGGTTTATTGCAGCCTTATTTATAATAATAAAAAAAACAGAACTAAAAGTCACTATACCTCATATATGACATTTGGAATAAAGCTTGTATTAATAATGTAAACTTTCAGTGTAGAAATAATAAAAACACGTATGATAATACTAAATCCAAATTTATAATAATGGTTATCTTAGAGAAGAAGGAAGGCCAGAGTAGGATCAGGGGTCAAATCTATAGGGGATGCCTACTGTATTTGTTTTTATTTAAGGCATAAAGCAAATATGGAACAATGTTAAGATTCGATTGTTGGTAGATGCATGTGTGTTTTTTATACTATTATCTGTATTTTTCTATATGTTTGCAGTATTTTACTTGTTAAATTTGTTATTTTATCAAAACAAAAGTATCTCAAAAATACTTTCAGTGAATTTTTTACCAAAAAGATTAATAAGCTCTATATAGTATATATAAAATTTGAAATATAATGGTGCCATATAAATGTACGATAGCTGACATCAGCTGTTAGTTAAAATATTACTATATGAGAGAGGAATGAAATGATGCTTATCAGTTGAACTTTTGTACTATTAACAGTAATTGAGCTGTTCTTGCCTGCTAGTTTGTCTACAAGACAGTGTGCTAGCTTTCTGGAAACATGGGATGCAAGGTAGAAGTTTTAGATCTAATGAGGTAAGTAATCTTTTAAAAATCATTCCCCTGAACTAGAAGTCCAGCCCAGTGGCACTCCCAGCTACTTGGGAGGGCAAAGCAGGGGTTTGGGGATAGGCTCCAACATAGTGAGAAGCTGTCTTACATGAAATTTTGAATAGTCAGAAGACATTTATCAAATCTACTTTGAACAACTTTGGGAAATTATTGAATGATACCAGTGATATTTGATTTATTAACTTCATTAGTACCATGTTTAGTCTGGTAGCACCTATTTTAAAGCACCTCTCTCTGCATTACTAGAACAACTTCAGTGCATATTTAATGTGCTTCCATGTAATAACCCCCAAATTAAGAACAAGGACTTCCCAATACTACCGAAAGTGAGCAACTATGATTTTTTCAGCATTCCCAGACCATCCCTGGAACAAGAATGCTTATGCTGGCACTCTTTGTCCTGAGGCACCTTATCTACCTGGTTTTCCAGTGATACTGACCAAGAATTCTCCATTTCTCTTGAAGCTGGCTTGCTTTCTATTTATTATTATTAGAAATATTATTATTTCTATTTCTTATTATTCACTTGATGTTTTTTAGACTTTTTACCTCATTTTAATTAGCCTTTAGGTGCATATCATGAGTCCTTTCTACCTTACAGGAATAACTTAAGCCCTGTAACATATTTAACTCAGTTCAACATTTATGCTAAGAAGTGTCAGGGTTATAAATATGAATGAGGACATAATAATGCTTGCCCCCTAGAATAGTAAAACCGCCCAAAATTCTTCCAGTACACCCAAGCCCATCAATATTACTTGATCATTGGAAGCAAAGAAGAATCTCATGTTCCTCAAGCAAAAAAATAGCTCATTTTTGTTCTGTTGTCCATTCCTTCTAAGAAGTCAAGGCATTTCTCCTAAGCAAGCAGTATGTATAACTTAGTGATCATGAGCATGCATTCTCAAGATTAGACACCCAGATTCAAATCTAAGCCCTACGGGTTAGTAGCTGAGTGACCGTGGCATATCACTTAATTTCTCTCTACTTGTATTTTTTATCTGTGAGTTGAGAGTGAAGGTGAAATGACATGAGGCAAGTAAGTGCTTGGCATGGTGCCTGACCTACATAGTGAGTGTTGAAGAAGATCGCTGCCGCTACGTTTCTGGCGGTAATTCCAACAAGCCAGTGCACTTCTCAAAAGCAGTTTCAAAATCACCTGAAGAAATGAGCAGGGAGATAAGAACAGAGGCAGGGTGGGCAGGATAGAGTAGGGGGAGTGTCAAAAAATCACCTGGGGGTGCTTCAGTACAGTACCTCCAGAAATATCATATTCTTCTAGTAGGATGTAGTGGAAATCATAGAATGGGCCGCTGTTACTGAAGTGAGCTTGTTATTTCTTCCTGATGTGTTGGGTAACATCAGAAGTGAAGAGTCACCAGTGTGTCCAGAATAATTGTAGGAGTGTTGTTGTTGTTGTTGTACCGGGAATCGAACTCGGGTTCTTGCACTTGGGAATTGTAGTTTTGATACAATACATTTAGTTTCAGAGTCAGATTCTTTTTCAGCCTACCAATGTTGGGAGGAGTTAACTGCCATTGTAATTTTAAAGTTTTGTGTTCAATAAACTTAACATTGGGTTTCTCTTTCTTCTGTAGTCTTATTCCCCAATTTATGGCTGATCACACTAGCACTTCTTTGTGGGCAGGGGCCGGGTACTGGGGATCGAACTCGGGTCCTTGCGCTTGCAAGGCAGGCTCTGGAACCACTGAGCTAAATCCCCAGCCCAGCACTTCTTGAAGGATATATTGCATCAGAAAATATTTTGGGAAAGTGTGAGAAAAATGGGGATGATTACTGCTATATATTGAGCACTTTCTTAGCTAGGCATTATACTCTCTTATACTTTTATGAATACTGTAAAGTACTACTGCAAGGTAGATCTTTTCTATCCGTTTTGCAGAAGACAAACTATTTCCAACAAATTATATGCCTTGTCCGATATCACTGCTAATAAGTGGGAAAACTAAGATTCAAACTTAAGTCATGTCTGGCTTTTAAGTATTTCCTGTTACACCATAGAGCAGCCTTTTGTTATTGTTGTTGCTTTTTGGGGGGTTTTGTTTGTTTGTTTTTGTTTTTGGTACTGAGGATTGAACTCAGGACCATGCACTCGAGAGGCAGGCAGAGGCACCACTGAGCTAAATCCCACGCCCATACAGCAGCCTTTTAAATTAAAGAACTAGAGCTAAGCAGCTTGTTGCTGCCAATAGCCGTGCTATTAGTACTAACATAAATGATGAAAGATTTTGGATGAATAAAATGGATTCAGTGCTTTTTTCTTTAAATTTTTTCCTGAAATTCTGTGATCTAACAAGTAGTTTTCTTCCAGGCTGGGGATCTGGCTCAGTGTCTGGCAAGTGTGAGGTCTTGAATTTGATCCCTGGTACCAAAAACAAACAAGTAGTTTTCATCATCTGTACTTTATGAGTAATTTCAAATTAGTCACACTTTTCCTGGACTAACAAATTGATACACAAGCCGACAATGAATAGTAATATGGGGATAGTTTTCCATCCTAGGGATTATATTTATTTTCTGTAGTTATAATGAAATGCCCATATAAGATTTTATATCTTTACAATAAGAACCAAGACCTGTCATGTAAATGTACAAGACCCCAATGATGAATGTAACTGTACTGTATACCTTAAAAAGTACCAAAAACTCAATGAAAGAAAAAAATAAAATAAAAAGAGATTTTGTATCTTTAATTTCAGGAAATAAATTTATATTTTGTTTGAACAGGTAACACAAGAAATATCAGATAACACAAGAATTTTCAAGCTGCTTGGATCTGACAGGTATGAAAATGGATTTATTAAATGTGTAGTGTTTTCTAAATCCAGCATGAAGCTGGTTTCTCTTCCAGAAGAATTTAAATTTGTGCAGTAATACGTTTGACATTGTATTTTTAAAATTATATAAAAAAACTGACCTTCCAAATATTGGGAATTTATAGATCTGCCCATACTATTTTACTTTAAATTTGCTGTGTCTGATTTACAACAGAAGAAAAAGGAAAAACCATATATTAACATAGAACTTTTTGATTTTAGTGTCAAAATTTTGGAGTTCTATTCTGGTTCACCTTCTGATTCTTTGTTGTAGAATTTATAAGAAGAGTTAAGTTCCAACCAAATTATTCCTAAATTACAGATTTCTGCTCACTCACTGCCCCCACTCCCGCTCTTAGAAAACTGCTTAGAGGTGGGAGGTAGTGGGCAGCAAAATTACTTTATAGAGCTGGAACTGGCTCTTTAATCAGAGTGATAGCGAAGTATTTCTGCCCACAAATCAAATGATCAGCATGTATAGAGACATGTAATAGAGAAACAATGGAAAATTTTTCTGCAAACATTAGTTTTCAAGAATAACTTTGTTTTGTTACATGTTTCTTTTATTATTTTTAGGGTCGTGGTTTTGGAAAGTAGGCCAACTGATAACCCCACGGCAAACAGCAATTTATACATCCTGGCAGGTCATGAAAACAGTTACTGAAATGTACTATACTTTGACATTTAACTGTAGAAAAAACACTACAACTGCAACATTAATGGATGCTTGAAGCTGTACAAAAGCTGCAGTAACTCGGCTTCAGTTACTTGTAATTTATTGTGGCATGAGACAAGATGGGGAAATTTTTGTTTTAAATGGTATGGATATATTTAGCATATTGAACCACACAAGTGCTTAATTCATTGTTATGTAATCTTTGTACATATAGGCAGTATTTTTCTGTGAAACTTCATATTGCTAAAGACATACACTAAGAATTTATGTAGATAATGTACTTTTATGAGATGTACAAGTAAGTGTCTTATCTGTACAGATGTAAATGTTAATTAAAATGTTATTGGGGTTAATATTTTAAGTATTCTTTAGTATATTCTTAGGTGTGGTTATTTCACAAAATGGGATGCTGGCAATGAAACAGTACTTTAACACTATTGTATTTTTTATTGTATGTATTTAGTAATATGAATATAAATCTTGTAACTTTTAAAATTGTTAATGGAGGCTGTAATCATTTTATAATCTTGTTTTTAATTTTAATGCAAGTACACTGGTGTTTATATTTGCACAAAGTATTGATATGTGATACATTGAGTCGCAAAAGTAAGCTGTGACACTGTCAATATGAGGTTGGTTCCACAACATCTTTTTTAAATGTATTTGGATTGTTTTCTATATGAAAAGAAACAATTCTCCACCTATTGTAGTAACTGATCTTTTTATATTTAAGCAGAAATCCTGTATGATTGCTTGTCTTTGCTTTAAAATGTCTTCGAAAAATTTTTAAATCACAGAATAGTGGTACCATGACGTAACACTGCAGTTGTTGTCTGAATTACGGTATGCACAAAAAATAAATTAGCATTATTAAAGAGTCCACACTAGACATTTCATATATTCACACTGAGGAACTATAACATTCCATAAGTGAAGTTGTTCAAATTTCTAGTGGAATTTTTAATTTTGTTGACCTTATTTTGTGATTACTTTCATATATCTTTTGATTTAGATATTAATACATGGCCAAAATAATTTAGTTACTACCTCATACAAACAATATAATAGTTACACATCACAGGAACTTAGTTTTGGTTAAAGTCATTTTGATTCCTTTTTTCCAATGGAATATGTATAAAACAAGTTTAACAAATGCACATTTTTGGCTCTTTTTGGTATGTGTTCTTTATATTTTAATGTGAGTATATACACACTAAGAACAAACTAAATTGTGATTTATGGTCTTCATTTATTTTAATTGATAATGATTTTAAATATGTTTCTGATTGTACATAGTGTAAAATAAACACTTTTTTAATATACTGTTGTATAGTAGCTTGTCATCTGGCTTAATCTGTACATAGTAACACTAAAATAAGGGGGGAAAATCTCCTTAAGGACTTAATTCTGGTCCCTCAAGTAATTTGTGATCTTAATTTCATGAAGCAATACTACTCCCTCATTTGAGGGAAGGGCATCTTTTGTAGAATCTTTAACTTCTGATCCTGAACATCAGTTAAATACAATGTTTTAGTTTCAGCAGGATCACTTCTCGGCCTCTCGGCTAAGATCAAGTGTAGTTACTGCAGGAGTTGGCAAACTGTAGTCCTCAGTCCAATCCGGCCCACTGCCTGTTTTTGTAAAAGCTTTGCTGTAGCATAGTACCACAGATGACTGCATTTGTGCTACAGTGTTAGGATTGAGTGATTTCAAAGAAAGTCTGGGCCTGCAAAGCCTAAAATGTTTACATCTGACCCTTTGCAGGAAATAATTTGCCATTACCTGAGTTAGAAACAAGAAGGAAGGTTGTTAGGGAATGCATTTCTGGAAGTAAGGAATGGAAAGAATAAGTAGGAAACTGGATTGAGCAGTTAGGAGGCACCATTTCAACAATTTCTTATGCTACTACCTGTCACGAAGACCTTCTGTCTTTTATGTGAATTTAAGATGGTTTCCATGTCTAAAATTGTAAAGATGCTAATAATCATAGCAGTTGAGTATATTGCTTTTCTCAAGCATTGGGAATAATCTTAGTATCAGTGACTAGTGGCTTTTTAAAAAATCTTACTAATATGACATTATCATCATCTTGCTGAAAAAACAGATTTCATGGAAAAGATTTTCAATAAATTAGGATTTGATTCCTAGCATTTATTGACAAAGTTGTTGATCCTTTTTCTGGACCACTGTATCCAAGTCCTTTAAGTTATATAAAGGGCCATCTGATCTGTAAAAGGGTTACTCATTTCATTTAACTGTCAAGCACCTAAAAATATTCTCAAAAAATAAAATATATGATTTGTTGCATATTTACCATGAGCTTTTTAAGAACCTCTGAGATCATAATCTTTGGGAGTAATGAATACCCAGTAACCTTTATTTTTATAAAATTATAAAAATTACTCTGATGGGCACTCTAGCAAGAAAACCCTAGTGAAGATATTAAATCAGTGTTTCTGAATGTGGTCCAGAGATCACCTGTTCAGAGAGCTTCATCTAATGACAGTTTAAAAATGCAGATTTCTAGCTTGCCTATAATCTTGGCTGCTCACAGCTAAGGCAGGACAGTCATGAGTTCAAACCAGCCTGAGTAGCATCAAGACTTTCAAAAAAAAATTTCTAGGGCCAGGGATTTAACTCATTGGTGCTGCCGCCTGCCTCGCAAGTGCAAGGACCCAACTTCAATCCCTGGTACTAAAAAACAAAACAAAACAAAAAAGTTTCTAATTTCCTACTAAAAACTTTTATTATGACTCTTTACACTCTCAAAAGGAGGAAACAAAGTCGGGCGTGGTGGCGCACGCCTGTAATCCCAGCACTCGGGAGGCTGAGGCAGGAGGATTGCTGTGAGTTCGAGACCAGCCTGGGCTACACATTGAGTTCCAAGTCAGTCTCAACTACATAGTGAGACCCTATCTCAAAAAAACAAAAAAAAAAAGAAGGAAACAGTCTAGTTCATCTTCATTGAAGTTCAAGCTAACTCTTATTAGCTAGTTGTGTAAATACTACAAGAAGAAAGATCAACTGTTTATGGCATTATTCAGTTTGCAAATATGTCTGATTTCGGTAGAGACCAGGAAATAAAGGACAGATAGGTTATATCATTTTTTACCATTGTTAGAGAGATAAAAGTATGTGCTTTACAAAATAATGGGTAAGCACTGCATGTATTGTTAATTTCATTTTACAGATTAGCTGAGGCAAAGAGATTGCCCAAGCCCATAATGCTAATGGCCAAAGCAAGAATTAGAACTAGGCACTTAGTTCAAAGTGCATTCTCTTAACCACAGCCAGTGGTGGCAAACTCTGGCACACGTGACACAGCTGGCTGTTAATCTAAAAGGTTCGCCGTCACAAGTTCAATCCCCAGTACTGGGAGAAAAAATAGTAATAAAAGATTCTCCATCACTGTGCTAGACTTACATGGAATACATGCAGTATGTTCACTATTAAAATATTCAAGCATTTTACCCTCAAATTAGATATTTTTCTCCAGTTAGATTGTAGATAATGATTTTTCACTGTCTTTGCAGTAAGAAGAAATTTTTGTCTTAATTTTTGGCTTTACCAAAAGATTTTTTCAAAGTATTTTTGTATCAAGTAAAATTACAGTTGAAGCTTGTTAATTTAATAAGCCTAGTCAAAACTTACTAAAAGGGCTTTTTTTCCTTTATTTTTGGAGACAATTAACATATATTGATTATCTACAGCTTATCCAGGCACTTTACTGGCACTGGAGAAAAGATTGAAAAGGCATAATTCCTAGCCAGTATTTATTCAAGGAGAACACTTGGATTAATAAAGGTAAGTGGCATTGAGTAGTGTTAAAAAGAAGTACAAAGAGTTGCGCCTGATTTTGCTTTCGGGTAGGAAAGCCTTTGTGTAGAAAGATATGTAAACTATGCTGCTGATAGATGAAGAGTAGTTCATCCATTCATCCCATGCAGGAAAAAGGCAGAATAGGAAGCTGTAAGCCTAGTTGTATGAAAAAATACTGTAGGTTAAGGAATAGTGACATTAAATGCAGTTGAGCTTAAGGTGTATGGAGCAGATGGGCTGATTGTAAAGAGCTTCCTCATTAGAAAAGTAGCCAGGTGTCAAGCACTACAAAAACTGCAGACATCAAGTACTATGAAGATGAAAATAATATTTGGTTTGTCCATGTGTGATTACTCATTTAATGAGATTTTTATAGCATGAGGAGAGGAAAAACCATATAGAAGCAGGTAGATGAACATTTAGGATTAGACTTCAGTTTTCAATGGAAGTGTATTTGGTCTTGCAGGAAGGAAATAAAGGCTTCTGGTTTGATGATGTCTGTTACAAATGGAAATTTTGAGCATATTTCTAGGCAAAGGAAATAGAAATTGAGATGGATAAAAGAAAGGGAAGAGGACACGTGTGAGGGGAAAAAAGTTTGGACATCCTATATCTGGCCACGATGAATTTTTTGTTGTTTTTGGTTCTGGGGATCAAACTCGTGACCTTTTGCTTGTAAGGCAGGTGGCGGAACCGCTGCACTAAACCCCCAGCCCTATGAGCATTTTATTGATGCTTAAAGTACCTGTGTGTCCGTGGGCAAAGCTTTTTCAGTCTTGGGAACAAACTAATCCTTCAACGAAAATTAGCTCTCCTGAGGCTTAAATGTTTATCAAGTTGTTGGCTTGACTTTCTCCCCCACTGGATGACAAAACTCTTATTCTGAATCAGCCCCAGATTTTCTTAAATACTCGCCAGATTATGAAAATGGCATTAAGGAACCACAGCCAGTGGATAGTTGTTTGTCTCAGAAAGTTGGCAGAAAAGTGTGTCCACAATAAGTCAAGACCAAGAGTGATGACTTGGCAAAGAATCTTGCAAACTGATGATCTGCCCAGGCAGGAAAGCGGACTAGTTAATACTCTAAATCTCTGTGTTCTTCATAGACACCTGCTCTTGGTGTCTTAGGAAGGACCCAGACTGGGTGTTGAGTAGTTATAAATGTTTCCAAGGCGCATTCATCTTTCTTGTTGCTGTGTTCACACCCTGATGTTGCAAGCTCCAACCAGAGGTGACCCAAGGCGCTGAGGAGTATGGTTGTGGGGCACCCGGGGAGCAGTCGGGGAAGCCGCCCAACCCTGCGGCGCCTGAGCGTCCCGGTTGTCAGGGCGACGCCGTGGTGACTGTGCTCCCTTGAGGGCTGCCGCGTCTCGGGTTGCGGCTCAGAGGGCCCCGAGTGGTCCTGCTTTGTCCACCTCTCAAGACTACAGGGTGAGTACTGGTTCCGGAGGCGCGTGAACTGGAGCAGGGTGGGCCTTTGGAGTCTATGGAGAGGGGTGGGGTCTGGCTGGATATGGCCGATTAAGGAAGAAGGTCCCGGGCCACGAAGGAGCCAGGGTGCGTTCCCCACCACGCGGTGGGGCGAGGGTAGGAGTGATAGGGCTCCCCCAGCCGCAGGACCTCGGGTGCCAGTCCCAACCTGCTGGAGTCCTAAGTATGCATTGGTAACTTCCACTTCCTATTACCAAAGCATAGGTCACAGTTGAGAATTTATTTTTGTGATTTAAGCCAAGCTAAAAATGAATGAAACAATTCCAGCTTCCCTTGGTTGAGGAAAAACAAAGCAGCCTTAATGTTTGGATCGTTTTGGCAAAGATATGTGACTCCCAAAGGGCATTTAAAACTGAAAATTAAGTGGGCGGTGGGAAGAGGGGAAATGACAGTGATCACCGGGATGGACAAGGCCACAGCGGGGGCTGGGGCTCCCCTGTGGGTCGGGAGAGCAGCTGCGGATGGGTATAGCAAGTGTCATTTAATGGATGCTCCATAGAAGCAGCCTGAAAATAAAGTGGATTTATGCCAGACTTTCGGAACTTCTATGCGTACACATGAAATCGAATTTTCTAATAAAATTAAGTAGATTATGTAAATTATGTCATCCTCTAGTTTTATGAAGATGATTTGAGTTAATCCGATTATATTGTCACCAAAATAAGTTTGTAAGGAGGTATGTGTTCTTTTGAAATGCACCAACTCAGCCTTGTTTATGACCCATCTGAATAATCCAGTAGACCGTTTTAAGGCTCAATTTTATGAAATACAACAGTGTATCTGGTTTATTGGAAACACGAAGAATGGTAACTTAGCATGACGACTTATAGCCTGTAGACACTAATCAGTCCCTCTGGCCTGGTCTTGGAAGGCTCTCTTTTCCTCCACCATTCCTAATGCCACTGTTTACAGCGTTTTCTAGAACATTTTAGGTTAGGAAAACATTTTCCACTCTTTTTCTACTCCTCACTTCCTCTCCTTGTCTTAATTTTGTTTTTCTTCTACTGGTGTACACTTTAGGCTTACTTAATCCCTCAAGACTTGATTTGTGACACAGTCCTGCAAAATAATCCACCTCCAAGTGTTTTCTATGTACATCATTTTGCAAATCCTTAAGACTAGGGAAATTTTACAATAAGTTTAATGAGCTGTTAAAGTATCTATCCATCTACCATTTTTTTTATAATCAGTAGATTCAAGTGTATACCTGTCTTTTGTACACAAAATTTCATTAAACTGACACTCAGTTCATCTATGTCTATTTCTTCCTCATCATTACATTCAAGCTTTGCATTTTGTCAAAATTAATACAAAGGAGATATTGTATCCTCAGTGACATGTTTGCCTTTTCTACAAATTTCATGCATATGAAATCATACAATATTCTCTAAATTCGACATCCTGTAGCCAAAAGATGCATGTGTAACTTCAGTTTGAAGGTCCCTGAGAACTATACTAAATTCTTATGCTCTTCTTGATTTGTCATAAATTTAGTAAAATTTGTAGTCCTATAATGTAAATCTTCCAAGTTTTTTTTTTAAGTTATTTTGGCTCTTTAGGATCCTGTGTATTTATTTCAATTATAAATCTTAGGTTTATCGTGTCCATTTATATTTTTTAAAGCCTATTAAGATTTTTATAAGGATTGATTTAACTATAGAAGAGTTATAGAAATCTCACAGCTTGTTGAGTTTTCCAACCCACAAACATGGAATTTTTCTTTTAATTAGATCTTCTTTAGTTTATCTCAACGATATTGTAGTTTTAAGTAAAAGACCTTGCACATTGCTTGTTAAATTGTATTCCTTTTGTATTATAAGTAGAATTATTTCCTTAAGTGTATTCTCCAGTTGCTTGCCGCCATATTTATACATATAATTTATTATATACCAGTCTTGCAGCCTAATGCATTGCGAAGTTGATCATTAAGTCTGATATTGTTTGTAGATGCATTAGTATTTTCTACATACAGCATTGTATCATTTCCAAATAGTGACAACTCTACTTTTCAATTCCAGTCTGTATACCTTCTATTTCTTTTGTTGCCTTCTTGCACTGGCAAGCACTTCCAACACAGTATTAAATAGAAATGCTGAGAGCAAACATCCTTTTCCCAGGGTTGGGGGTAAGGCAGTCTTTCACTTTTAAGCTTGAGATTTTTCACAAATGCCCTTGAAGAAGTTGTGTTCCTCTGTTTCTAGTTTGTTGAGATATTTATCATAAACAAATGTTAGGTTTTGTCAAATGCTTTTTTGTGTATGAGATTATTGTGTAATATTGTTTTGTATTCTGTTCATATGATATTTTATAATATTTTAGATATTAAACCAACCTTGTATTTATTTAGATAAAACCCATATATAGTAATGGTATATCATCTTTTTAGATGTTTCTGAATTTGTTCTGATAATTTTTTGTTGGGTATCATTGTAGTTTTATTCATGAAAATAATGTCCATGTGAACCCAGGGTCTTACACATGGTAGGCAAGTACTCTACCACTAAGCTACATCCCCCAATTCTTTCTTTTTTGAGTCAGGGTCTTGCTAAGATGCCCACACTGATTCTTCTGCCTCACCTCCCGAATAAGGGCTTATAAGCACATGCACTTACACTGGCTGATATTTTGGTATTTTTGTTTGATTTCTTATCAGAGTGATATAAGCCCCATAGAATAAAGTGAGAAAAGTTCCCTCTTCTATTTTTTGGAACAGTTTGTGAAGGATTGATATTAATTAATCTTTGAATATTTGGTAGAATTTACTGATAAAGCCATCTAATCCTAGATTTTCTTTGTGGGTTTTTAATTACTAATTTTTTTTCTTGTTATAGTGTAGTCCAGTTTTCTGTTCTTCTTGAGTCCGTTTCTAGGCATTTATCCAACCAACATGACTAGCACCTTGGTTGCATTAAGTTGTTTGTTTTAAAGGTTTTTGAAAATTTCTGTAAAGTAGTCCTGATTATAAGTTTTATTTCTCTTTTTTCTTGCTCAGTCTACCTAAAGTTTCATCAATTTTGTTGGTCTTTTCAAAGAACCAATTTTTATGTATTTTTCCCCTATAGTTTTTTTGATGAGGAGTCAAGCTATTGAGTATATTATTCCCTTGTATGTGAATGGTTCTGTGTGACATTTTCTAGATTTTTCTCTTTGTTTTTGTTTTCAGCAGTTTGACTATGATTTATTAAGATAAGAATCTCTATTCTACTTAGAATTTATCAAGCTTTTTGAATATGTAGATTAAAGTTTTCCATTAAATTTGGGAAGTTTTAACCATTATTTCTTCAAATATTTTTCTCTCCTCTCATTCTGTTCTTTCTGGGAATCTTACTATGTATTTCTTGGCACTACTGATTTGTATACCACAAGTCTCTGAGGTTTTGTTCATCTTCAATCTCTTTTCTCTCATTAGTCATTTTGAAAAACCTAAAGACTGAGCATTTCAGAGAATTTCTTAATCATGAGGGAAGAATTTGAAGGTTCTTCAATTTTGAGGGGTTTTGTGTTGGAGGATCCCAGACTTACTTTCCTTGTTTCTTTTTCCCCTATACTCTCCAGTCTCCAACAGATGCCTCAACTTTCCCTCTTAGCCTTCTCTTCCCCAAGAATGGTGGGTGCAGGGCCAGGGATTTAGCTCAGTGGTTCCAGCATCTGCCTCACAAGCTCAAGGACCCAAGTTCGATCCCTGGTACTAAATAAATAAATAAATAAAAAATGGTGGGTGCCACATTAACTGATGCTACCTTAATACACATGTATTTGTGATGTATCTATTTCCCCTTCACTCTTTCTGTTTGTCCCAGCTCTCACCCCGCTCCTATCTTAGTTCTGTACAAAGACTTACAATGGTTTTTCTTCTAGAATTTGGGCTTAAGTGTGTAGAATCTGCTGTCTTTTTGTTATATTGAAGGCATTGGATTTATGTGGTTTTATTTGTCCTGGCAAATTTGTGTAGCTCTATAGAAGATACAGAAAGAAATCAGATTTAGTCAACAGCCATTATCCTTGATTACCTCCAAATTCCTCTCCATGGGTATCTTGACAAGTCGTTTAGGTGTAATGTAGAATATGTTTGTGAACTTTATGTAGGAACAGAAAATAAGAAAACAGAAAGCTTTTGGCTTAGAATGTAGCAATTTTGAGATGAGCCTGCCCATTCCAATAGAGATGTTCATCAAGTAGTTGGATGGTTGTCCTGAATTTTAGGTAAAAGATCAGGAATTGCTGCTTCTAGAAACTGGCAGACCCTAGTAAGCTGGAACTAGAAACATAAATACTTTGTGGAATACCTGGCTTGGTCTAACTCCTACTTACATGCCAGGTTCATCTTCCATGGACATATAAGCAGTTTAGAAAGCAGATATTTCAACATGACCTGGTACAGCACTGTTCCTGAAGCTTTATTTTATTATATTCAACAGTTTGGTTGATATGACTGAGAGCTCTAGTAAATCTGAAAAATCAGTCATTATCAAATCTGTTGGAAAAATACAGCTAAATAGATGAGTAGGTGAAATAACTACCTAGAAGGAAACAAAGAAATAATGCATAGGCTAAAATTTCATAATTATGTTTTGTGTCATACTCATAGTTTCCCAAGTAACCATAGTGCTTATCAAATAGGTTAAACTCACAAGTCTGTGAAGTTCTATACCAATAACTTTCTGAAGCAAATTTCTAGTCTTTCCTATTCTTTTTAAAGCCACATATTATTGTGGTAAAGAAAGACAAATATACATGTGTCTATCTTATAAATACCTTTAGGATAATAATAGCTAGGTAAAACTACAGTATAATTTAATCTGTGATAGATTTTCTTCATGTTATTTGTACGTGTATGCTTGAATTTTCTCCCTTTAATTAGGACTAGAACCCACTTTAAAAATAACAAGGCATTTAAAAGTATATATTGCCGGGCGTGGTGGCGCACGCCTGTAATCCCAGCACTTGGGAGGCTGAGGCAGGAGGATGGGCTGTGAGTTCAAGACCAGCCTGGGCTACATAGTGAGTTCCGGGTCAGTCTCAACTACATAGTAACCCCATCTAAAAAAACCAAAAAAAAAAAAAAAAGTATGTATTGATAATATGTTGATAATCATTTACCCAGGTTTCCCTGTTTTACATTTTCATAGTTGCAAGTGAGAGTAGGTCATTCCTTTCCACAGTGAGATAATCTGAATATTAATGAATTTTTTAAAAAGTGTACTCACAGCATGTGAAAGGCCCTAGGCTTGCCTGGTGTGGTTGTGCATGCCTGTAATCCCAGCACTCGGGAGGCTGAGGCAGGAGGATCATTGTGAGTTCAAGACCAGCCTGGGGCTACCTAGTGAGTTCCAGGGCAGTCTCAACTACAAAGTGAGACCCTGTCTAAAAAAAAAAAAAAAATCCCTAGGCTTGATCCCAACATCTCAAAAAGAAAAGAAAAGTATGGTCATTTGGCCAGAGGGCAGGAAAACCTCAAATTCAAGACCAACTCGGTGACATGGTGAAACCCTGCCTCAAAAAATAAATAAATAAATAAGTAGGGCCAGGGATTTAGCTCAGTTGTTCCACAAGCACAAGATCCTGAGTTTGATCCCTGGTACAAAAAAAAAAGTATACTCATTTGAAACATGAGAAATTTTACAGGTACAGGTATCTAATACTTAGATAAAATAGTTCTTAAAGTTGTCTATTCTATTTTTGTTTGTTTGGTACTAGGAATCAAACTCAGGACCTTGCAGTTGCTGGCATGGTGCCACTGAGCTAAATCCCTGCCCCTAAATTGTACATTCTTGTGAATTAACTGAGAGGCAGTATAGAGTAGTGATTAAAATTATGATTGGAATTTGACAGCTTGGATTTTAATTCTATACTAGCTTTACTGCACTTCATTTTTCTCATCTGTATAATTGGATAAAAATAACACCCACTAGAAAATAAAAATAACATCTACTTCATAGAATATTTGTCCAGGTTATATGTAAATAGAATAATGTTATTTAAGTGCTAGCTATTATAATTATTGAGTACAGTCAGATTCTGCTGGATAAAGTAGAGATATCTGAAGCTAGTTAAGTTTTTTATACATTATTTTTAATCCCTAGACATGTTTAATTAAATTGGTTTTATTCATAATTTAATGTTTAGTCATAAAAATAATTAGGAATAATCAGATGATGTGAGAGAAAAAATTTAAACCCTGCATTTCCTTAGAAATCACTATGGATATGAAAAGACTCAGGAAGAATTAGAGAACTCTACCTCCTTTCTGTGTGTTATCATTTTCTTTGAAGACTGAGTTAGTCCCCTGTATAAATAAAATTTAAAAGCAATAAATAACACCCTGAAAAGATTTCATTACTTTCAAAGGCTGCTTTGAGCAGCCCACATTTTCTTTCCTCTCTCCACCAGGTGGAAGTATAGGACTTTTTACCATGTCTTGTTGCATAATTCTTCGTAATCACTGTCGTATTCAAGTAAGTTAGGAAGGAAAATTAAACACTGTATTCAAGAGTAGGAAATATTCCTTCAGCTAGATTTTACTGCATCATGTTTTACTCATTTATTTGAAGATAATGAAAACAACAGATTGGATAAGGTTCCTTTCCACAAAATTTTTTTAAAATTCTGACTCATTATCAGAAATAATACATTTAGTCTTTGTAATAGCTGCAAGAGCCTATATAGGCTAAACCAACTAGCAAAATAACATCCAAGTGTTTTTAAATAGATTTGAAGTTAATCATTGGAAATAAATGTTTGGCAACCTGGGCAAATAGTTTTTATATGAGCTATGAGAACATTGTCCTTTATAACTTGATTAAGACAAGTCAATCTTATTTTCCAGGTGCAATTATTATACTGCAAGTCAGACAACAATTTAAGTCACTTTAACCATAATGGAAAAGTATGAAAAATTAGCTAAAATTGGAGAAGGGTCTTATGGGGTTGTATTCAAATGCAGAAACAAATCCTCAGGACAAGTAGTAGCTATTAAAAAATTCATGGAATCTGAAGATGATCCTGTTGTTAAGAAGATAGCACTAAGAGAAATACGCATGTTGAAGGTAGGTTAACATTCTCTACATACCTCTGTCTCTACAGTCAAGGTATTGGGTGAAATATGTATGCTAAAAATATCAAAAATTTTAAAGTCATGTTTCTTTTCCATTGGTCTTAAATTCCTTTGTATCAGCAACTTTGGGAAATAAGTTGATTATTGCTTCGGACTTTGGACACTTTGATGTTCTGATATTTATGAGCACCGCAAAAGATAATGATGTACTTCCATTTGGTGTGTAAATATCCACACTGTGCTAGGCCTAGTGTGTACTTCCCCTACCCTGCCCTCCTCCTCCAACAAACCAGCAACCAAAAGAACTGCAGCCTATTCCAGATCAGTCTCAACTACATAGTGAGACCCTGTCTCAAAAAAAAAAAAAAAAAGCACTGCAGCCTACAGGGCTGCCTGAGTCATTCCCCCTGGCACTGGCATTGACTGGTCTCTCTGCCTGCGCCACCCTGTTTCTTCAGCCTACTGGGTATCATGCCCCGTGATCCATGCATTTTTCACACTAGGTTATCATTTATTGTTTTTACTTGGATAGAATTTGATATGTAAGATTCATAAACTCTCCATGAAGTTTTTTTCCCCCAAGCTAAAATCTTCATTTTTACAAAGTTAATGTGCATAGGAGTTACTTGGAGATCTTGTTGAAACACCAAATCAGGGGAGTCTGAGATGGGCCCTGAAAATCAGCTTTTTTTCCCCTCAGCAGTGGGAATTGATTGCATAGCCTCACAATGCTAGACAAGTGCTCTACCGCTGAGCTATATCCTGGCCCTTTTTCTGCTTTTAGTTTTGAAAGAATCTCACTAAATTTGTCTATGCTGCCTGGGCTCAAACTTGCCATCTGCCTATCTCAACCTTGTGAGCAACTGGGACCACATCTCGTCAAGAGTCCACACTTCTGATAAGCCTGCAAGTAGTGGAGAGGCTGCTGGTGGGTGGGACACTTGTTAACGAGACCCTGTGATTTCAAGAGCACACAGTCTACCTTCATTTGACAGTCTTCTATTTTCTAGAAAAATCACAAAAATCCAGTTTGCAGAGGGGAATAGTAATCATCTTATCTCTCTTTCATATATAATTTTCAGCAGATTTCCCCAACTAATAAATTCTAATGTTTTGTTTAAAATATAGTTTGATACACAGTTTTCAACACGTCTTTTGCGGGAGGAACTGAGGATTGAACACATCATTTTTTAAAAGGTTATTCTCACCGCCAGCCAGCAGAGGGTGCCGGTGATCCACCCAACTCTGGCCCCAATAGCAGGGCTAAATTACACGGTGCGTCTGGACCAGGCAGGATTTTATAATAAAATAATATTTTTACTATTCTCCCTCTCTTAAGTCTTCAGATGCAGTTAATATTCAGGTAGGACAACTGGGTAACAAGTGGCCCAATTTGAGAATGAACTTTAAAGTCCAAAGTAGCCAGATTTCACTTCAGGATGTACACTCCTGTTTTTTATTTGTTCCATCCATGACACTCCTTCCATAACAAATACACTTTATTTTCCTCACATACTCCTGTTATTTAAATTTGATTTGCTGCCTCCTCCTTTCTCCTCCTCCTTACTACCTGCTTTACTTTAGTTACTTTAGTTGTTGTTTGCCTGAGCTAAATAAACTTCATTTGCAAAAAAGATATAAATTGTCAAACTGGCCCCACAGGCAGGAGGTTTGACCAGGTCCAACTTTGACCATCCATCAAGCTGTATCACCTGTGAATCCCTTACCTACCTGGTAGAGAAACCACTTGATTTCCATGCTGTGGTTTTGCTGTGACACACAGTACTTGCTCACCTATGAAACTTATCTCCACCACTCTTGACCTTCTGCTCTACTATTTATTTATTTATCTGGTACCCGGGATCGAACCCAGGCCCTTGGGCTTGCAAGGCAGGCACCACTGAGCTGAATCCCCAGCCCCCTTCCACTCTTTTAGACAGTGGGAGATATAGAAACATCTGCTGCATACCAAATGCTATGTGTTCTCTCTTTATATTTCTTTCAGGGTAAATAACATAGGATTTGTAAAGTTTGTTTGTCTAATGCGTTAGAAAAATAACATGGAGGATGAGCTATAAATAGGAGAGTTTGTGTATCTTGGTTTCTTTAGGACAATCCTGGTTTGTAGTTTTTGTCTCAGTAGCCAATCTGGTTAGCATCCCCTTTCAAAAGTATCCTAGGGTGTATTCTAAATTATATGGTCTTCTAATTTTAGGCAGAATAACCATATATGCTGGTTTTCTTGGGGCAGTCCTGGCTCCTGATTTGGATGATAAATTTTAGTCATGCTAATGATGGATTATGTAACTTCACCATCATTTTTCTTTGGTTTACATTATTAAGTCAAATGAAGTGCTTCAGATTTAGAACAAAATTTAGCACATAAAACATGTACATATGACAGCAACAGAATCAAAGAACAAATCTGAAAATTCTCTGAAAATATGAATTTTAAAAAGAGGATGGGAATTCCTAGAATAAGCAATTTAATCATATCTCATTGCATTGAGCCACTGCTTGACTCTCAAGTACTTTTAAATCTAGCTGACAGTGGGGCCAGGGATTTGGCTCAGTGGTTCTGCCACCTGTCTCACAAGTGCAAGGGCCTGAGTTTGATCCCTCGTACCCCCCTCCAAAATCTAGCTGACATTTACATTAAATCCATGACACTATGTAAGCTAAGTGGTCATTGATTTTTTAATATTTTTTCACTCAATACTTTCATTTCCTCAAATTTTACTATTATTTTTTGACTTGGATATTTAGAATGTGTATAAAATGCATAAAATATTTTTTCCATTAAGTTTATTGGTACATTTAAAGCAAACAATACAGTTGCATTTATCATTGGGATCTTATACCTTTACATGATATATCTGGGTTCTTGTTTTTCCCCCATACCCCTGCCCTCCCTTCACCCTATTTTTCTTATTTTATATGTATGTTAGCTTATTATTTGCTATCACCAGAGGCACAGAAGCAGTTTAATAACCATTGACTATAGATAGGCACATGAGACAAATTCTTAAATTTCTTTCAGGTTTTGAGTTTTCATGATTCTTACACAGAGCAGTTTTTCTTGTGAAGAACTGTAATACAGTTTGGCACAAGAGATCCACGCAAATAAGAAAGAGCTTGTGTTCTTAAAATGATAAAGGATCTATAATGGGGGGGAAATGATAAAGGGTCCAGAGAGAAACTATTAGTAGAAACATATCACTGAACTTTGGATTTCAATTCCTTTGCAGCAATTAAAACATCCAAACCTTGTGAACCTCATTGAGGTGTTCAGGAGAAAAAGGAAAATGCATTTAGTTTTTGAATACTGTGATCATACACTTTTAAACGAGCTGGAAAGAAACCCAAATGGGTAAGTATCTAGAAGCTGAAGTTCTGTATGGCCAGTTCTCTGCTTCATCCTACATAGAATTAACTGGCAAATTTCAAATCCCAACCCCAGCTCCGCCTTCAACCCAGATGCTTCTGGCTACCTCCAGTGCCAGAATGTGCTCCAAAGACAATCAGATATTAACCTAATAGAACTATAATTTGGAAGACCAACCTGAAATATAAATTCCTTTTGAGGCTAAATTGTATATTGGATTATCTGAATTCAAGGAATGAACCATGGTTCACTATTAGGAAATATATTCGTATAAATCACTAATTAAATAAAAATACGTGTGATCACTGAAATTGATAAATTCAACATACTTTTCTGATTATTTAAAAAATAAAAAACCTTAGCAACTAGGATTGTAAAAAATTTCCTTATACACATGACCCCTTTTCAAACTGACAACTAATTTTATATTCACTGAAAAAATACTTATGAAACCGATTAAATAGAGAAGACAAGAGTCATGAGTTTTCACCACCAAAATATGGCATTGTCCATGAGAGCTCTAGCCAGTGTAATGCCATAAGAAATATAAATAAAACATATAGCATGTGGAAATAAGATAGAAATTTTTTGCCTGATATTATTCTACAAAATCTAAGAAAATCACCGAGAGTTATCAAAATTGAGAGAATCCAGTTCAGACTCCTATAGCAAATTCCACATTCAGAAACAGCTTTTGTAGCAATCGTCACTTTGGAAAATCTACTACAGAAAGATCCCATTCAAATGCTAACAACAGCAAAATAGTTTAGTAATAAAAGATAAAAATAATGGTTCAGAAACTATACAACAACAACTACAAAACTTAATTGAATACCCCCAGCCCTTAATGAAGGGTATTTCTTCAGCTCTCCACAGGAGGGTGGAATTGAGAACCTCCAACCATTCTTTCAGCTCCATGCTTAGTTTCATGTACGAAAATCTATGAGAGAAATATTTGAAATCTGACTTGTTAGCATTTTTCACAAAAATATATTGAATTTTTTGGTACCAGGGATCAAACTCAGGACCTTGCGCTTGTGAGGCAGGCAGCAGAAAAATAATGGATTTTTAGTAACAGTTGTAATGAATAAGAGGCAAAAAAACCTTCCCACACTTATAAAGAATTTTAAGTGAACATATGTTTCTACATGAAAATATCCATTAATATAAAAGTTTCTCGACTTATTTATTTATGGCATAAAATTCTAATCAGAAGAATTTCATAAAAAAGAAAAGGGGAACATTAATTGGCAAATATTAAATCAACAGTAGCTTTAGGGATTGCCTTGCACAAAAAAGTAACAACTAAAAAATAAATTAAAAGTTGGGTAAAGTATTTGCCAGAATTAATACATTTTATATCTATATGGAAATTTTACAAATAAAATTTTTAACAGGATGATTACCCAATTAGAAAGTATATTTGCTCAAAAAAGATTTAGTAGATGCATAATATGTACTTAGCTAAGTGCTAAGAATATAGCTTGAACAAAACACACACACAAATAGCTTAACCTTAGGGAGCTTACATTCTGGTGGACCTGAAAGAGAAAATCATTTTTTTTTTTAATATTTTTCTTGGTACATTTTAGATATACAGTACAGTTGCATTCATCATTGAGATCTTTTTTGTACCTTTACATGACAGGTCTTGGTTCTTATTTTTTCCTCGTTCCCCTAGCCTCCCTTTCCACCTCCTCCCTTCCCAATTTACAAAAACTTTGTGAGAAAAATCATTTTTAAAGGGAGGAAAATAACACACTGATAAAAACATTTATTTTTCCTATCAAAAAAATTTAAAATGTGATGTCTGATTTCTCAACTATTAAATTTGGCAGAGATTCTTCAGAAATCAATATGTTCAGTACCATCACCGGTCATAGAATCAGGCCTCTCACTCACTGCTAAAGAAACTGTAATTTGTTGGATAATTTGGCAATATGTGTGAACATATTTTAAAACTTTATCTTTTGGCCAAGAAATTTTATGTAGTGAAGTATATAATAAGACAATATTCAGATAGCAGCAAAATATTATACATATAAATATTTAAGCATCATTTTTTTAAATGAGACTGACCTAACTTTTCAATAGTAAAGAATTGGTAGTTAAACATTGGATATTGGTTTTTGTTTTTTTGTTTGTTTTGTTTTTTGTACCAGGGATTGAACTCAGGTCCTTGTGTTTGCAAGGCAGGCAGTGGAACCACTGAGCTAAATCCCTGGCTCTGGATATTGATTTCTATTGGAGATTTTATTTCATTCCAGAATGCTTTCAAATATGCTGCCATGTCTGAATAATATTGCAGTGCTCTATCTTTCTGATCTGAACACTGTGACTCTATCTTCTTCTTTTTTTTTTGTACCCAAGATCAAACTCAGACCCTGAGCTTGCAAGGCAGATGGAAGAGCCACTAAGCTAAATCCCCGACCTGACTCTATCCTCTTTGATAACTTCCTTCTCTCTGTAAGAACAGTGGTATTTGTTCCAGACTGTTATTTTGCATAGATGTTTTACCCATGATGGACTCTGCCTCCTTGGAATCTGAGCTAAGGAACGAAAACCTGTGACCCAGTGAGAGCCCTTTAAACATCTATTCTTCAACAGTAGCTCAGGACTTCCTGTCAAATTAATTTGTACTTGATTCCATGTTATTGATGCTGGTAGTTGCAGTTACAACAGTTTCTGAACCCTAGCCCCTACCTTGTTCCCCAGCTCCCTGCAGCCTCTTAGATCTTCTTGCCCAGCTTTCTGTTAATCTACATAGATAGGGCCATGCCCTCTCAAGGATTGAAATTTGTGTCCCATCCTCACCACCACTATTGCCCCAGTGTAAGACACCAAAGTGCTTGGATTGCTGAATTAACCTCCTGATTTATCGCCCTACACATTGCCCTAGAAATCCATTTTCCATCTTACATCACGTCCTGGCTTGACTCCTTTCGATGGCTTTTAGTTTAGAGTACAATCCAGATTCTTTACCAAGATCTAGATCTCTCAGGCCCTGCAGGGTTTGAAGACCTCTGCACCTTTTTCCCTCATGCTCCCACTTTGTTGGCCTCCTGGTTTTCCCCATACTTCCAGTTCTTTCTTCCCTCAGGAACTCTTCTGTCCTTCTGCACCACTTTGTCCCATTTACTGGCCTCATCTGATTCCAGACCTCTATCTCCTGAATCCATGCAGGTGTTAAAGCCCAGATGTTTAGGGCATAAGTTTCCCAATAAACTTAGGAGATATTACTCCATGTTTACACAGGGGAAAATTAAATAACTTGCCAGAGGTTATAAAACTAAGAAGGAACAACATGGCTAGGATTTGAATTCTGGCAGTCTGTCTTACAGTGCTGAAAGTGGCTATACTCTTGTTTCTGCCTCAAAAATATTTATCAGTGGGCCAGGGATTTAGCTCAGTGGTTCCACTGCCTGCTTCACAAGTGCAAGGTCCTGAGTTCGATCCCTGGTACCCCCCACAAAAAATTATCATTGTTGCCTCAGGTTTGGCTCTAGGTAAAAGAGGGGAGAGAATAAATTTATATCAGAATTCAGTGCAGGAAACAGACATTTCAGATAGAAAAGAACCTAACACTGAGAACTATTGGTACTTTCACAGTATTACTAATTAGAAGAACTGGAGTCCAAGGGTTGCCACCAGACAGCTGATGTCCAGAGCATGCTGCCATAACTGATCCAAGATGAAGAAACAGCTCCTGGAAAAATAACCTCCCTACATTTCTCTGAATGTATTTCAGACTTACATGGTGGCATTTTTTCACTAGTGCCTGAGTCACACATTGCCCATCCTCTGATTCTATAAGACCAGCTATCCCTGCATGAATTCAGTGTTTTAAAAGTGATCTAGGGCCAGGGCTTTGGCTTAGTGGTTTAGCCACCTGCCTTGCAAGCATAGGGGCCTGAGTTCGATCCCAGGTGCCAAAAAATTAATAATGAAAAAATAAAAGTGATCTAAATATATTACCTAAATACCCAAATATGACAGAATATTAAATATGAATGATAGTTATGTTTGGAATATTAAATGATTATCAATTTTTAATTTTAAAAACTTACAGGTGATACTTAGCAAAAGAAACTTTTGTGTTTCAGGTTTTTGAAAATATGTTATTTAACCTCATCTGCATCAGAAAGACTGAAAGATTGAGAAAAATATTTAGAGCATAAATAACAAACTAATATATGCTGAGGCTTTGTAAGTGAGTAAGAAAGGAATAAACCATTCAAAAGGCAAGAAAGGCCCTGAAGTGGAAATACAGAAAGAAAAAAATGTAATATCCTATAATCATGTGAACATTAATAATCACTGAAAATTAATAAAACAAAATGCAAAATGAAATACATTTTTATTTTAGCCACAGATTGGCAAACATAACATTGGCAAAACCAAATGTTGGCAAGATACTGAGGAGATAGGGAGCTGTCTGCACAGATGTGTGGTGGGTGTGTAAATGGGCTTAACCTGCCTGAGAGGGGGTAGCTTGGCAGTGCACAGTGTGAAGGCATCATGGCAGGGTGGTGTCACGAGTAATGGAAAGGCACCAACACAATGAAGTGAAGGGGAATGCAGCTGCTTTAATTTGTAAACACTGCTGTGTAAGGTAGAATATTCTCAGACGGAATATAAGTTTCACAGGTCATTAGTTCCCCAGTGCAAAGTATACTGGCCAATGATATTTTCCAAATTTTCTGCATAAAGTGAAAATTCTGTGAGGAACAAGAAGCGCACAGCCTCCCAGTCTTATGAGACCTTTATTCTCCCTGGCCTCCTCCTCTATGCCTGTAAACCTACCTGCTTATCAGATGCACAAACTATTACACAGTCATTCCAGCATGTGCTTGAATGTTTTCCAGCAAATGAACTCAAGGAATTGAAGGTCTCTTCCCAGTTTATCTTTTTCTCTTCAAAACCACATCTCAGATCTACCTGAAGTTCACCTCTGCAAGGTCAAAATATAATAGGTACCTACCATTGGTCCTAGAAATCCCACTTCATTATCTTAAGAAGATAATTATACAATTACAATAAGACAAATGATTACAGATGCTCATTGAAGTGTTTTAGAAATAAAAACTAGCTCAACCTAACTGCTCATCATGAGAACTAAGTAAATTATGATACATCTGTAAGATGAGATCCTCCATAGCCACTAAAATACATGTCTAGAAGTCCCAAGGTGGGCAGGGATGTAGCTCAGTGGCACCGCACCTGCCTGACAAGTGCAAGGTCCTGAGTTTGATTCCCAGTACCAGAAAAATAATAAATAAAAGGTCTTGGGTTTCATCACCAGCATTGCAAAAGGAAAGGAAAAAAAAAAAAGGCAGAGTAGAGTGGAACTGTACAGGTAAATGAGTAGCTATGCAGGTGTGAGGGAGAAGTCTTCATTGACATAACTTTATACTTTTAAATTTTTGAATTAATGTGTTTATCTAAACTTAGAGTCAAAAGTAAATGCAGAGAGAGCCAGTCAGGCAGAGAGAAAGGCAGAGATGTCTAAGAGTCAGCCATCCTAAGTGACAGTAGTTATTTTGAGGTAGCAAGATTAGCATAAAGACATTTTCACATTTTCATCACGGATGTAAACATTTCAAACTACAAAAGAAAATGACAGAACTATAATAAGAAGGAAATGAGGCAATTTTCCTTACAATGCTTTTTGAAAGACAGATTTCTCGGACTTCCTCTACGCTACGCTTTATGACCATGACAAGCCCCACCTATGCCACTTCACAGGAACTCCATTCTAGGAATTTTCATTTCTTTTTTATTTCTTCCCACAGAGTTGCTGACAGAATGGTCAAAAGTGTACTATGGCAAACTCTTCACGCTCTGAATTTCTGTCATAAACATAATGTAAGTAACATTTTCTAATGTACTAATTTCACCATGGTGCCTTTTCTCCCAAATGGCTTGAGGCTCTATTTGTAGAGTTACAGATGAAAGGAAAGAAAAAGGCAGAAGAGCAAAACAAAACACAGTTACAGTTATAAGGAAAACTAATTCATTATTCATGGTCCCCTTCCAGTTTCAGTAAGAATCAAGTTACTGATTTCTTATGGATTAAAAGTCTGTATAAACTTAGTGTTTTCTTTTGCAACAGTACATGTGATTCTCATTGTTATTTTTTAAATCGGTTAAAGTAATTTTTCAGGATATCGGTATTGCATTGGGATCCACCATGGCACTTTGTTTTGTTTTACTATGTCTCTTAAATCTTTTATTCTATAACAGTCCCCAATGCTCTACCATTTTTAAAAATTCAATTTCCTCTGCTGTTAATGTTGGAGAGTCATAGTTCTCAAACTGGGGCACACCTCGAAGTGAGCTGGAGGCCTTGGAAAAATCCAGCAGCAGGCCCTTCCCGCACACCATCCGACCCTGTACTTGCAGTACAGAAAGCGAATGTGTATTTCTAACATTTTCCTGGATGAAACTGAAGCTGCTGGTCCAAGAACCACCCTTTGAATACTACAGGAATACATTTTGGCTGGTTGTTTCCTAGGTTTAATTTAACTTGTTCTTTCACATGTATTTCCTATAAATTATTTGTATCTAAAGCCTTGAGCATATTCAGGTTTAGTGTTTTTTAAATGAGAATCTTTCCTACACAGTGCTGTGCATCTATTACATCCATATCTCAAGGCATATAAGGTCTGGTTGTCCTACTTTTGCTAATAGCGATATTGACTCATAGGCTCAGGAGTTACTAGTTTTATGTCCTCCATTATCAATTTCTGTGTCATTCTTTTTTACCTGATGGTTTTAGCATCCAGTGATGATTATTGCCTACATCCAGGACTTTATTAAGATTAAGTGATGCTAATTTTCCAATTCTATCATTCCTTCTGCATTATAATTAGAATAGCATGGAAAATAAATTACACTCATGGACTCTGGCTGCTGTAAACTAGTGCAAGGTGAATACGTGATGATTTCCTTTCCGTATCAGTAGTCAAAGTGATGAACAGGAACCCCAGCAGCCTCCGACAGTGAAGGGTGTGGAGGCATCATTATAAACTGATTTTATATATTTGTTGTTTTCAGTGTTTTGCTGTCATTGTTCTATCAAGATGTTCAGATTTTCCCATTTTGGGCCACTGAGTGCTTACTCAGGTTGGCTTCTGGGTGCTTTTGCTAGGTTGATAACTTTTTAAAAATATCTCTAGACCTTTTGAGTTAGTCCCTACACAGCGAGTGCTGAGACAACGAGAGATTCCCATATGGTCACCTTGGATGCCAGCAGAATGTCTACCGTGGTAGTCTAGGATTGCTGAGAAAGAAAATACAAGATCGTAGAACTAAATGTCAGTACTTGTGGAAGCTTTTTTAGTTTAAAGAAAGTCAGTGAAGTTTGTATTAGAATAAATCAAACGCCTTCATTTTCTATTAAAGTAGAACTATTTCACAACATACATAAGCCTATGTTTTATGATGCAAATGTTTCTTTCAGATTCTTATTAAAGTTGATTGTGAGTTGAGCTCTTATTTCTGTTGCTGTCCACCTTGCTATAGGAGAGATCAAGTTCACTTGAGGTTGCTGCAGCAGTTTGAGGGACGGTTAACTGCTGGTCAACAAATTATGAAACAGTTGACAATTATGAGACTAGGAACTAGCTTTTGTTCTCAGTGCCATTTTTGTGACCTAAAATGAATTAAGGGTTTAGCTTTTTCTCTCCCTAGATTGCTTATAGAACCAAAGAAACCATTTCAGAACTGTCAGTTTGACAGAAATACCTAAAGAGACTGACAATATGGCAGAGAAGTGAGGCTGACAGAGATGATTACTGTGACCCTTAATCTGTAGACTCTCAGAGGCCACCTGAAATCACAGGATTGTTGTGCTTTGAAAATTTCAGTGCTCTCTATGAGTGCCAAGTTATGGGAAGACCAATGTCATTTTCATCCATTTTCTTTTGGCGGTGGGAAAACTGGAAAGATTACAGATCTGAAGAGTAGATCTGGAGCTGTTCACTCGCAGCACCTCCCCAGCACGGGGAACCCCTCTGGCATCAGGACGATAGACACTCAGCCTGCCCGCCTGCCCGTAGTGAGGCAGAGAGGACAGCAGAGCTTCTCTGAGTGGGAGAGCCTCGTAGCAGGCCATGCCCTCCTGGGAGAGTTCCCGGTGGCACTGTGTGATACTCCAGGTCAGCTCACTGAGGCGGAAACTGGAATCTCTGATAAGCAGGTGACTGATCCCAGTTTACCCAGGACACTCCTGGCCTGTACCTGATTCCTGGCACTGTTCACAGAGCTCTCTTCACACTGGAAATGTGCCCTGGATAAGTAGTACAGATAGGCACTCTAGCTATACGTAAATTTTGGTGTCTCTTAGCAATTGAATGTTTTCCCCACTTCTCATCTGCAGTATTCAACCTGAATTACGATTCTTGAGTGGCAAACAGCAGCTTTTATTAGAGATTTATAGAGTCTGCACTCATTCAGGGTTTCATCCCTTTTAACTGGTTGCTATAGGCCCAATAAAAAAGTGAAAGTAAAAACAAAAAAAAACAGAAAAATGAAGCCAGGGATTTAGCTCAGTGGTTCTGCTGCCTTCCTTGCAAGCACAAGTTCCTGAGTTCAATCCCTGGTACAAAAAAAAAGGGGGGGGAAAGAAATAAGTGTGTGATTCTCCCTTCTTCACAAAAAATAAGATAGTTTTTATTTATAACAGTTTTATTTCTTCAAAAACTTAGCAACATTTGGATATATTTTTTTCTTTTGTATGATAAGATGTATGTTATTTAACTTCTAGAAAAATAAAGGAAATCTTTTTCTATCATAAGCCGTGTATCCATCATTTAAACTAGCAAGTTAAATTATCTATCATTTTGATGGCTCACAAAATAATCAAACATTATGTTGCAGTGTATTCATAGAGATGTAAAACCAGAAAACATTCTCATAACTAAGCAAGGAATAATCAAAATCTGTGACTTTGGATTTGCACGAATTCTGAGAAGTAGCAATTTTTTACCTAGTTGATCCAATTTAGATCATTATAAACTGATACAATGTAAATTCTTACTTGATATATTGAATGTAAGCCAAATATTTTCTTGTTGCTTAAAAAGAAAACTCTTACGTTAGCCTTTTAGGCAGTACATTAGTTGACACCTCAACTCTATTCCATTCAGCTAGAATTGATTGGATGACATCTTTAATGTGTTTCGCTCTCGCCATAGGAGTGGAAAAGAATTGCAAGATGCATTTCTGTTTTTCGTGCACTTATAATCTAAAGTTTATAAAAACAGAAGAATAATGCAAAGTGGTTGGCAATAAAATGCTAAAATGAAGGTACAACTCCCTGGAGGGAGATATTATCTATGTAGGATAGAGTAGTTGGAAAAACAAATCTTCATGGAGCTAGAGAGTCTAGAAAAGTCAACTGAAAATTAAAGAAAGAATAGTGTTCAGAAATAGTGCTAAGAAAAAGGGAATATCCCAGGCACAAACCAAGAAGAAAGGGGGTCAAATAATTATTTCTCCCTGAATCTAGAACTTCGCAGCAGGTAAAAACATGTTGGCAACACACACTTTGCCGTAGGTGAGTGTGTGTAATGAGAATCCTGATAGGACCCAAATACAAGTGAACATGCATTTGAAAGCATGGCGGAGGAGGGATGGTAAAGTCTTTCTGAGGTTGCTGTGCTTTGCAGTAAAAATAGTGGGATCCTGCGCCGGGGGAGTTAGCTCGATGGTTCTGCCTCCTACTTCACAAGCACAAGGTCCCAAGTTCAATCCCTGGTACCATAAATAAATAAATAAATAAATAAAAATAATGGGATCCTGATGTTAATTGGTCCCTGTGTCATGTGGCCGAAAAGAGAAACAGACAAACTCTAGAAAACTACTGAGCTATGAGCTGTGTACATAATACATCCATTTCATGAAATTTAGGCAGCCATTAGAAGTGTTCTTTACCATTTTCATGGCATTGGAAAATGTTCAAGATATGGTAAATGGAAAAAGAAAGCTAAAACTTACATATACAATATGATCTCAGGTACACAGGAAAAGCATACATTTTTCAGGAATATGCATTCTTGCTTTCCATCTGAGTCTTTCTGTAGCAAATACAGTCATCTTCTCAGCTGCGCATGGTGGCGCATGCCTGTAATCCCAGCACTTGGGAGGCTGAGGCAGGAGGATCGCTGTGAGTTCAAGACCAGCCTGGGCTACATAGTGAATTCCAGGGCAGCCTCAACTACATAGTAAGACCCTGTCTCCAAAAAAAAAAAAAAAAAGCAACAACAGTCATCTTCTTAATGAAGAGCTTTAGACCTAAGCGCTTGGAAAGTGAGTCATCTGTCTCAGAAGCTTTGATTTCATGAATGTCCCCAAGTATCAGAACGGTGAACCCACTGTGGCAGTCCTATAATGATGGCTTCTGATAGGTTGTTATAAAGCAAGCAGTAGTACGAGACACTACCAACTTGTGCACATTGGATAAAATCTCCCCATAGATGAGCTCAGGCACTGGTTACAGTGCAAGCTGTTATAAGTACTGGTCTAGGTCATTGTTGGGTTCATTGGTCATTTATAATGAGAAAGGCAAAGAAAAGTTCCCATTATGTGCTATAATACTAATATTGGCTCCACAGCCTTAATGACATAAAAATATAGGCTCCTCCTGTATATTCACATGTAAAAGAGTGAAGTATATAAAAATTCCCTCAAAGTGAATCACCAGGGCTGAGGAGGTAGTTGAGTAGTATACTATTTGCCCTGAGTGGTGTACTCAGGATCCTGGGTTTATTCCCCAGAATTACTAAATAAATAGTGGTAATAATAATAATAATATCAACTACTGACCTAAAAGTAAGAGCTAAAATTGTAAAACTCTTAGAAGAAAATATGGGGATTATTTACAACTCTGGATTTGATAGTGATTTCTTAGATGTGATACTGAAAGTACAAGCATCAAAAGATAAATTTAACTTCATCAAAATTTAAAACTTTTGTGCTCAAAGGATACTATAAACAGGGAAAAGGCAACCTATGGAAAAGGAGAAATATTTGCTATTTTATATCTGGTAAAGAATTAGTAGAATATATAAAGAACTCATAACCCAGCCAAAAAAAAACTAATTTTAGAATGGGCAAATGAGTTGAGTGTGTTTTGCTCCAAAGATATACAGATGGGCAATAAGGACATGAAAAGATACTCAGTGTCAATAGTTATTAGGAAAGTACATATCAGAACCACACCCAGTAAGATGACAATTATAAACACACACACACACACACACACACACACACAACATGCTGCAACATGGATGTACCTTGAAAACAAATATGCCAAGCATGGTGGTGCGCACCTATAATCCCAGCACTTGGGAGCCTGAGGCATGCAGCTTGCTGTGAGTTCAAGGTCAGCCAGGGCTACATGGTGAGTTCAAGGCCTCCTGAACTGTAGAGCAAGACCTCTTG